CCTGAAAACTTTAAACTAGCTAGAGTCTTACCAGTATTCAAAAAGGGGGACCATACTAACTTGAATAACTATAGACCAATTTCACTTCTCTCTGTCTTCAACAAATTATTAGAGAAACTTATGTATAATAGGCTTATTGCTTATCTACAAAAGAAAAATATACTCTATGACAAACAATTCGGATTCCGCTCACAGAACTCGACTGAGCATGCTATCCTGACTATCATTAATAAAATTCAAAAGGCTATTGAAAGTAGGAACTATTCTTGTGGAATATTTCTGGACTTTAGTAAAGCCTTTGATACTGTGCATCATGGAATTCTAATAAATAAGTTAGAAAAGTATGGTATCAGGGGAATTGCTAATGACTGGTTTGCCTCTTACCTTACTGGTAAGAAACATTTTGTATCCATGAATAATGTAACATCTAATCTTAATGACATAAATTGTGGTATACCTCAAGGATCTGTTTTGGGGCCTCTTTTATTTCTATTATATATTAATGATTTTTATAAATGCTCAGAATTATTTGATTTTCATCACTTTGCTGATGATTCCAATTTATTCTATGAAAACGAAGATCTATTAGATCTGGAATCGAATATTAATCAAGAGTTGGTCAATATCAATGTCTGGCTGTGTGCTAACAAGTTGTCCTTTAACATCGAAAAATCAAATTTTGTTATTTTTCATCCTCATCAAAAGAAAATTGAAATAGATGCATGTAAGTCTTAGTATTAATGGCAGATATCTCAAAAAAGTTGATTATATAAAATATCTAGGAGTTTTTATTGATTCCCACCTATCCTGGAAATATCAGGTGGATCATATTGCAAAAAAGATGAAAAGAGGAATTGGCATTCTTTCTAAACTTAGACATTTTCTAAATATTAAGATTTTAGTTAATCTGTATTAAGCAATAACATACCCATTTTTGATCTATGCATTGATAATTTGGGGTAACACATATTCAACCACACTTAAACTGCTTATTATACTTCAAAAGAAAGCCATGCGTGTTATCACCTTTTCTCGCTTTGATGAACACTCAAGTCCTCTTTTTAAGCGCCTCCAAATCTTAAGGTTCACCCATCTCATTACATTACGTATGACCATGTTTATGTACAAATATCATCGACAACTTTTGCCCTCGAGTTTAAATGATCTCTTTACTCCTGTCTATCAAATACATTCATATAATACTAGACTTCCATCAAATCTTTGTTTTTCTTTGCCGAAAATAAGAACAAATTTTGGATTATTTAATATTAAATATCAGGGAGTGAAAGCATGGAATCTGCTGAGTGAAGCTGATAAACAGATGACATTTTTACAACTTAAGAGAAAAATTAAAGCTGCTTTTATTAATCAGTATTAATTTTTTCTTTATTGCTAAAAATGATTGTCTTTTCTTTACATTTCTCATTTTTTTTATGCTTTAAAAAATCGTAATTATTGTAAGATCAATCTTACAATTATTGATTAATTGTGCTACTTGGCCCCCAGTCTTTTAGCCTTATGGTTATTTTGGGGTGTCAGCTCCTTTATTTTAATTAAATAAATAAGTAACATTAATAGTAAAAAAGGAATAATGTAAAACAAAAAATGTAATTGTGTGATTATTACGGAGCAATAAATTGTCTTGTCTTGAATACTCACATTTTTGAATAGCATTATTATTCTTATACTTATATAATTATGTATATATATATATATATATATATATATATATATATATATATATATATATATATATATATATATATATATATATTTCTTACTGTATGTAATATCTTACTATATACTATATCTTTGTAATTTTATTATTGTACACGCCTCTTGTGGAAATAAGCCTAGGTTGACAATGGTTAGCGTGTTTAAATAAAAGTTTAAATAATAAGTTTAGTCTAATCCTCAGATATGGGATACTACGTGGAATCCTTACATGTGCAATGTAGGTTTACCCCCCACCCCCTAAAGTCAAACCATGGAGCACGAATTTCAGGGAAAATAGACACTAACATTGAGATTGTTAAGGCTCTGAAGCCAGTGGTTGCCACACCAAAGATAGAATATATGCACTTTGATGGAATCCTATCAAGTTCCCCTCATTTATGCACAATTTTGAGACATGTCTTGAAAGAAACAATGACAGTGACGAATCAAAGTTGCAACTACTGATTCAGCATTGCCATGGTACGGCAAAGGAAGCCATTGAAACCTGTGTCAATTTGCCTGCAGATGAAGGATATTGTGTTGCTAAGAAGACCCTGACTGAGAACTTTGGTAAGCCACATATAATTGCTAGGGCCCACATTAAGCAGTTAGTCAATCTACCCAGCATGAAGAAATGTGATGGTCCTTCATTGCTTGAGTTTGCACGGCACCTTGAGTCCACTAATCGGACACTTAAGGGAATGGGTCCAGAATATGTCAGTGACTTGGATCATGTGAACACCTTGAAGGAGTTAAATAGAAATCTTCCAATGTTCATGAAAGCAAGATGGACTGAGGAAGCTGGAAAGATAAATGAGCGTAATTCCACACCACGATTTGAAGATTTTCTTAATTTTATCAAGAAGAAAGCTGCTTTGATGAACAATGAATTTGGAGATGACCTCACCTCTGGTGATAGTAAGGACATGGCTAAGGAGAAATGGAGAAATAATGAGAAAGGTGGGCGCTTTAACAAAGGGAACATTGCGTTAATGGAAGGAATGAAAAGGGATGGGAATGGGAAATTGAATTCGAGGGTTTCACGAAGAAATTGCTCCATGTGTTCTGGCCCGCATGGCATATGGCAATGTGAAACATTTCGATTGCTCTCATTGACGGAGCGCAAGAAGGTTGTCACAGAGAAGTCACTCTGTTTTAAGTGCCTTGCAGTTGGTCATTATGCTCGGATGTGTCTAAAGAAACACTTTCGATGCCAATCCACTGGTTGCGGAAAGGAACACCATACATTGTTACATCCAGTTGATGTGATGGAAGTAGAAAAGAAAGAAAAGGACATACCACAAAAGTCAGCAGGAGCTGGGCAACAACCATCCCATGGTGAAATTAGCGGTGAAGATAAGGTGATTGCTGGAACTGGGACCGGTGAATCTCGCGTATGTCTGGGAGTGATAGCAGTAAAGGTTCGAGCAAAGAATGGAGACAGTTATGTAGAGACATATGCACTACTAGACAGTGGTTCGGAGGTAACACTCTGTCAGGAAGAGCTGACTAAGAAGTTGCAATTCTATGGTAAGAAGATGAACTTTACTCTATCAGGAATGACCGGCTCACAGAAAGTAGAAAGTCAACTTGTAGACATTGCAGTGGAATCTATGGATGGGACAACAGTAGTTGAACTTGAAAATGTTCGAACAGTCAAGGATATCCCTATATCAAAGGATTGTATCCCAAGAAAGCAAGATCTAAGGAAATGGCCTCACCTTCAGAACATTGACCTTAGCGAAGCTCAGCGCGACAAAGTTATTCTGATAATTGGATTGAAGGAGATCCCACAATTATTCTTACCGCTCGAGTACAAGGTTGGTGAAACGAGTGAGCCAATAGCAGTTCGTTACAGTCTCGGTTGGACGATTATGGGATCAGTTGGGATCGAAAAGGGGAGCTCGAAATATTCTGTTAATCTTCTTCAAACGAGTACATCGAACGAAACAAGTTTCTTTAATCAAATCAGGGAATATGAAAACGATGAATTAAAGACAGCATACCCAGTGAACGAAGAACGGTTAGATGATGCGAAGTGTTTGAGCTCTTCTCAACAAAGTGATATTTATAACTCTCAGTCGGTCGTGAACACACCAGTGCGAGACAGAGTAGAAGAAGGCGAGTTTGAAGAGAATACCCTTAGACAGCAAATTGAAGGTTTTTGGAAGACTGATTTTGGGGACAATGTAGTCGATACCAGACCTGGTCCATCGGTAGAAGATAAAAGAGCGTTAGAGATGATGGAAGATTCGATCCAGAAAGTTAATGGTCATTATCAAGTTTCATTACCGTGGAAATCATATCCACCTGATCTACCAAATAATCGAGCCCTCGCCGTACGAAGGTGCGAACTGCTGAGGCGACGACTGTTAAAAGATGGAGATCTGTTGTTGAAATACAAATTCACCATGTCTGAATACATCAAGAAAGGACATGCTGAAAGAGTTCCAGATGAAGAGCTAAACCGGACTGATAAACCTGTATGGTATCTCCCACACCATTCTGTGGTGCATCACTTAAAGCCACATAAAGTGAGAGTTGTTTATGACTGTGCAGCCAAGTATAAACAGACATCTCTAAACCAACAGCTATTGCAAGGCCCAGACGAAGCGAATCGTCTGGTTGGGGTATTAAGTCGTTTTCGGAAAGAATCCGTCGGAATTGTAGCAGACATCGAATCGATGTTTCATCAAGTAATCGTTGATCCAAGAGACCGTGATGTTCTAAGGTTCTTGTGGTGGCCGGACGGTGATCTAACCAAACAACTGGTTGAATATCGGATGACGAAACACGTTTTTGGAGCGAAATCTTCCCCCAGTATTGCCGATTTCTGCCTGAAGAAAACAGCAGATCTGGAGAAAGATGGTATAGAACCTGAAGCGGTAGAGACAGTTAAGAAGAACATGTACGTAGACGATCTAATGAAGTCAACGAGTACAACCCAGAAAGCTGTTAACTTAGTAGATCAACTCCGTGAATTATTAGCCAGAGGTGGATTTCGCTTAACAAAATGATGCAGTAACGACCGAGAAGTCTTAGCAGCTATCCCAGAGAGTGAACGAGCTAAATCAGTCGCTAATTTGGAGATAGAACATTTGCCTACAGAAAGAACCCTCGGGGTTAAGTGGAATGTGGAAGAAGATAAATTCGTTTGGGAGATTTCACAAGAAAGATTCACAGTGGTTAGCAATAAGCCGAAGACTCGTCGAGGAATATTGTCCGTAATCTACTCAATGTTTGACCCCCTTGGATTTATAGCTCCATTCACAATGAAGGCTAAACTGCTGCTCCAGATGCTAAGTCGGATGAAAATTGGATGGGACGATCAAATTGGAGAAACAGAAAGAACGCAGTGGATACGATGGCTCGAAGATTTACCTAAACTCGCAGAGCTACAAGTCGACCGTTGTTTTAAACCTGACACGCTCGGTGACATAAAATCCGTAGAACTGCATCTGTTTTCTGACGCATCGCGTGTAGGATACTCAGCCGTAGCATATCTTCGCCTGGTAGACGTCAATGGCTGTATTCATTGTGCGTTCGTTATGGGAAAGGCACGATTGGCGCCAATCCGGAAAATCTCTATACCAAGATTAGAACTCAACGCTGCTGTTGTCTCGGTGAAACTTACAGTTCTGATACAAGAGGAATTAGACATGGAAATTCAACGAGTTTATTATTGGACTGACTCTACTTCAGTGCTAAAGTGTATTGTTAACGAATCCAAGAGATTTCACACATTCGAATCCAATCGGTTAACTATCATACACAGTGAATCATCACCAAATGAATGGAGGTATGTTAACACGGATGCAAATCCAGCTGATGGCGGTTCTAAAGGCATGAAGTTGGAAAATTTAATGAAGAATAATCGGTGGATAACGGGTCCACAGTTCCTATGACAAGAAGCAAGTTCCTGGCCGGCTATGATTGAAGTCCCAAAGTTAAAGGACGATGATCCCGAAGTAAGGAAGAAGATCCAAGTCTACACCCCTGCTAGTGATGAAAACCCGTTGGATAAATTGATACAGTATCACTCGTCTTGGTGGAAGTTGAAAAGATCAGTCGCGTGGTTATTGCGATATAGACGGTGGCTGTTTGAAAAGTCAAAGGAAACGAACAAGCATCTTACTGTGGGCGAGATCCAGAACGCCGAAAGAGAAATTTTACGTCTTGTCCAAAGGGTTTCCTTTCCTGAAATCTTGAGAATTTTGAATGACAAGAATCTTGCTGCGAACGGAGCAGTAATGAAGAAATCCATTCGAAAGGGTGGACATTCGATTTATCGTTTAAATCCACACTTAAAGATGGTGTAATGATCGTTGGTGGTCGTTTGAGGAATGCTCCTGTTGACGAAAATGTGAAACACCTTGTATTCTTACCGAATAAGAATCACGTCATGGACATTATAGTACAAAGCTACCATATGCATGAAGATATTGGCCACATGGGGCAAGAGACGGTGCTCGTGAATTTGAGGAGGAAATTCTGGATTGTCAAGGGAAGATCAGCCGTAAGACGTATGTTGAGAAAGTGTCTTGAGTGTATGAGAAAGAATGTTCCTCCTGGAGAGCAGTTCATGGGAAATCTTCCTCGAGACAGAATATATCGCCAAATAAGCCACCATTTACAAACGTTGGCATCGATTATTTTGGCCCGTTCGAGGTAAAACAAGGTCGTTCTCGCGTGAAAAGATATGGTTGTGTATTTACCTGTCTAGCTGTTCGTGCCATACACGTTGAAATCGCACATTCCTTATACACGGACTCGATGATTAACGCTTTGAGGCGATTCATTTGCATTCGAGGATGCCCCGAAAGAATTCACGCCTGGCATTTTTGCACGCGAAAATTGCACATTAAAATGTGTCAATTTTTTTCGTTGCCGCGCGACAATTTTGGGAGCTTGGTAGCGAATTTCATAATTGCAAAATTCCTCAAATTCCGTGAGCGCGTGCTTGTGCGCGTTTTCCTTGAGGGTTATTTAAGAGTCAATGTCAGTAAAAATCGAACATATGAGATATTTCGCGGCCACGTCTGAAAAATCGATTTTGCTCAAATTTTGCCCAGATATACCTTATTATATCGGAAAATGCACCATATAATTTTTAAGGTCAAATGCTTTTTTAACTTTGAGAAAATGCCGTTTTAACACGACCACCATAAATCGCCATTTTGTTTGGGAAAATATGCACTGATTTTACCGACAAATTTCACGACGACAACCGTTTCTAATCGATATAAAACCCTAAAAATCTTGTTTTCGGTTATTCAAAGGACCGGGTACGTGACTTAGAGGAAATCTAAGTTACTTTTAGGAATAGAAATAATCATAGTTTTGGAGCACACTATCTTACTTCATTTACGATACCCTCTTAACAAAACCGATTTTCACCATGGGATAAAGCACCAAATCGATCATGCTTCTACTTGTTCGCTCTTTAATAAACAAGCTTTCAATTGACGCAAATATATCTTTGGGCAAATGAATACGCGATAAACGACAGCGCGTTGAAATCATCCGTTTTTGAAGTCTTGCAAGTCAAACGCTGTCAATTTACATACCGTCGAAGTAAACAATTTAATCAAGTATTCTAAGTATTTTACCTTTTGAGAAGATCTATTACAAACATACATACTTTACTTTATTGTGTTCCCTAAATAGGGATTTTCAACACTGATTTACAAAAAATAAATGTTGTTCTATTTACAAGTTTTAGAATTTATAATTTAAATTAAGGTAAAAAGGTAAGACATTTGTATAAAGTTTAACAAGGTAAAATTATCTACTTATATATTTGTTCTAGCATGCTTCGCTTCAGTTCGTTTTTGAAAGTTTTTAGGGAGTCTAACTTTTTGAACTTTATGTCCAAATCATTCCAGAGTGTAACGCCTCTATAATGAAAGGACCTTTGACCTGCAGAAGTTTTGTACAATGGTATTTGCAGTGAGTCATGGCTACGTGTATCTCGTTGATGAATGTCAGAACGTTTTGTGAATAAATCGCTCAAATAATGTGGAGCAAGTTCATTGACACATTTGTACATCATAATAGCCTCTCTTAGTAGTAATTGTTCCTTTACTGGGAGCCAGTTAAGTTCACGTAAGCCCGGCGAAATATGGTCGAACTTTCCAATATTTGTTATTATCCTGCATGCAAAATTTTGTACCAACTGTAGTTTCTTAATGTTGGTAGACGAAGTGTTTGACCAAACCGTTGAACAATAGAACATTTTGTTCATTACAAGTGCCGAGACGATGAGAGTTAAAGCTTCTTTATCGAAACATTTTTTGACTCGGTTTATTTGGCACAGGGAATTCATACATGAGGAAACCAGGTTGGTGATGTGCTGGTCATATGTCAAATAAGAGTCGATTGTCATTCCTAGATCTTTGGCAAAGGAGACGGGGGTAATAGTCTCGTTGAGGAAGTTTATGGTCATATCTACGGGAAGTTGTTGTAGGTTTTGCCGTGTGCCAAACAGCATGTATTTGGTCTTTCCCGGGTTAATAAGCAATTCATTTTCGGAACAACTGTTTGCAATCAAATACAAGTCTTCCTCAAGTTGTTGCTTTAAACAGTCCACGTTAGACACAGTGAAAGATAGTAATATCTTGGAGTCGTCCACGTACGATTCAAGTTTACTATGGTGGACTGATGAGGGCAAATCGTTAGTATAAATACTAAAAAGTAAAGGTGATAAAATTGCACCCTGTGGTACACCATAAGAAACAGGGAGAGGAGTAGACACAGTTGATCCAATTCTGACTGATTGAGTTCTTCCGGTCAAGTAACTCTCAAACCATTTTACAACGCTTGGAGAAGTCCCGACGTTGCTAAGTTTTGTAAGGAGAAAAGTATGATTTACACTGTCGAAAGCTTTAGATAGATCTATTAGAATCAGTGCAGTAACCAATTTCCCATCCATGGCCTTTAGGATAGTATCTCCGGTCAAAAGATTCAATGTTTCGCATGAGTGATGTTTCTTGTTCCCGCTCTGGTGGGTTGACAATTTTTTGTTCTTCATTAGATACGAACCAAATTGATTCAAGGCGACTTTTTCACAAATTTTCGAAAGAAAGGTAAGGAGAGAAAGTGGGCGGTTATTTGATGCTTCCTCGTGGTTTCCATCCTTTAACAAAGGGATAACTTCTGCCTCTTTCCATGCTATAGGTAACGAAGATGACGACAGTGAGCAATTAATGATATCGGTGAGGGGCCCAAGAATTACCGGTAGGCTGTGTTTGATGACACGCATACTCACTTTGTCTTTGCCGGGTGATTTGTTTGACGGCATAGCTAATATGATGTTCCTTATTTCTGAACAAGAGAGTGGGGTGAAACTAAATCTATCATTTTCTTCAGGGTAGCTGTTATCTGTGCGATTTACGTCAGAAAGATTCCGAGCTGGATAAACACTAGGATCTTGTATTAGTGTTGAGGCTTTCTTTGCTGCATTCACACCGATGGTGGAAAAGAAATGATTAAACTCTTCGGCCACTAATTTCGGCTCCTTACTGTAGACCACTGACTCTCTTTCCCTATACGCTATATTTTCTTTAATTACCTTCCAAAGTGACCCAGTATTGTTTCTGTGTTGCTGAACTTCCTTCAGTACATATTCTTTCTGTGCATTAACAAGTGCGGTTTTTGTAAAATT